CTACTGCAGAGAGAATGTTCTCTCTGATTGACCTGCAGTGTGGACATGACCTGACCTATCTGCTTAATAATTACATTCCTATGTACAATGCGGGGGCGACTGTGGCTAAGTGGAGAGTCCTTCAATCAGAGGATCGGTGGTTCGATCCCCCGGCTCCGCTAGTTGCACGTCGATGTGTCGTTGAGCAAGACGCTTAACCCCATAATTGCTCCCATAGTTGTGCCCACAGTGTATGAATGTGATAGAATCTGATCAGGTGTCACTTAGTCGCTTCCATCAGTGTGTGAATGGTTGTGAATGGGTGAATGATGACAAGTAGTGTGACAGCGCTTTGAGTGGTCGGAAAGACTAGAAAAGCACTATACAAGTACAGTCCATTTACACTGTGTAATATAATAACAGTGACATCTCATGGGTTTTAACTTTTAAAGCAGTCTTGTTTTGCGTTGTGTTTCCCTCACATTAAGTTTTGCAATTCTGGCAATATTATTTTGCATTCCCCATGATCCATAGGAGCAGTTAGTGTTTCAAGTTATTTCATTTCAAGTTACTCATTGTCATATGCACAACAATTACAGAGCAGATGTTGATGGCAGTGAAAATGTTAGATCCCAGGCTCCCTCCAACAATGCTCGTTTTGAGTACGTATAAAAGAACAGCTGCTCTGCCTGGCTGGGCTGGGTGGAAGCTGTGGCTGTGGATATGGTCATTGATCCCACCACTGCTGCCCTTGTGATTGAATCTGTGATGCTATGGTTATGGCTTTGTCAGCTGTACTGTGACTACTCTTCACTGCTTCTATTAACATGTCATCCGGTAGAGAAAACTCTCCAGCATATCTAATCAGGCCAGCAAAAGAAATTGGTTCACCCAAAACTCTCCTACTGGTCCGGAAAAACGTTTTTAAAAAAACAAACTTGTATGTACTTCTGCGATCACCACACATCACTCACAATTTGTGTTGCTTTGTGACAGACAAGCATCGTTTTGGACCTTCCGTGATTTAATCAGATATGATGGATGCACAAGAGTTCAGGAATACAGCAGCTTCAATATGGCCAGCACAACCATGTCAACTCACTGTACCCATACAACCCTTGCATGTAGTTGGTGTAACACTCATTAAAAAACAAATCATACATATTAACAACCACAGAACAGCCATGGCTGCAGTCACAATCACATGGCTGCAGTCACAATCACATGGCTGCACCAATCGGGGTGACTGTGGCTCAGTGGTAGAACAGGGTCATCCTTCAATCAGACGATCGGCGGTTCGAACCCCGGCTCCGCTAGTCGCATGTCGATGTGTCCTTCGGCAAAGGCACTTAACCCCAAATTGCTCCCGTAGCTGTGCCTACGGTGTATGAATGGGTGTGAATGTTAGTTCGAGTTCTGATAGGGAGGTGGCACCTTGCAATGGTAGCCTCTGCCGTCAGTGTATGAATGGGTGAATGATGACATGTAGTGTTAGTGTATTTAATGGTGTTGAGCTTCATTTTTACACGAAACAAAAAATAACTGTAGCTGTGGCGTCATAATGAGGTGTTTCAGCTGCTGGACAGCAGTGAAGGCCCAGGTATACAATGCACGGCACGCCACTGCTTTTCTCTATGTTGTGGTCTTAACTATGTGAAGACAGACAGATCTGATTAGCTGTTAAACCTATGCTATTTTCGGACTCATCACAGGCCTAACAGAAATATGTTCACGCTGGTATATTTTTAATGCATGTTCTCTGTAAAAACAGGCATCTTATATAAGACAGACACAATAAACTTCCTTTTTTAAAACGATATCATGCGTAGATCATATCTATTATGGTAGCATGCGAAGCTGCTCCCTTGACACTTCATCTCTGGTCTCTAGTGTTTTTCCCATCAAAGCTTATCAGCTGCAGCATAAAGGGTGAAAGGATTGACGCTATCACAGACTGGAGAAGTAAGAGAGGTTCAGTAGGAGTGAGACGAGTCGCACGACTACAGAGTTGATGTTCTTTGAAGACTCTGGCCATCACGTCTTTCTTGCTCCCGATGGCAGCAAGCTTTCTAATCGCGTCCCTCTCATTATCTCACAACTTCTTGTGGGGAAAACCGTCATTGGAGAGAGTTCTTCAGTCGGTTTGTATAATGTAAGATCCTTGTATTATACTAGTGCCTCTCCAGCTCTCTTTACTAAGAACTTTAATCCTATTATACAGCTGGCAGATCTGCTGCAGATCTGTCCTTTGTACTGGAGAATCAGAGCGTTTCTTTCTTGTCTCAGCTCTGAAAGGCATCACATGATTGACTGTAAGAAGCTTCGGCACTGGCCTTGTACATGATGAATGATTAACGATTTCTCAAAACTACATTAGAAATGTAAGTAATGGTTGTCAAGCTTTCAGACTTCAGAAAACACCAGCGATGTGTTCTTATTGTGAATGCATTTACGGACAGGATATCTGCTGCATTTATATTTATTACTCTATTGTTTTTTATTCATATGTTGTTGTATTTTCTTTAGCGATCTCTGTTGAAATAAAGTTCTGTTCAAATAATTTTTAGCTCAGCTGTAGTTAATTGTCCTTTTGCCAGCTGTCTATTTTCTCACTATGTGATATAACCCAATATATATATATATATATATATATATATATACGTATATATAGGTTATAGGTCTATTGATCCCTTTAGGATAATAATATGTGGTTTTCTTTCTGAAAATATGAACCCTTGTGTTTTTGTTACCCTACAATGAGGGGAGGGTTGTGGGGGTCTTTTTCATTTGATTTAAATTAATAATTTAAAAAGTTGGTTTGGTTATAATTTGCTGAGTCATGCACAAAATAACAGCCCTACTGCTATATTGCCTGCTGGCTGTAGTGGCTTATGGGGACACTTGAAACTAGTCAAAATGTCTGTGATGAAAAAGTTCAGTTTTAATAGTCAAAATAATTCAAAAGCAGCTGTGTGCGTTGTTTGTGACATATATCTTCAGGTCTTATCTCAGACGTAATGAAGCAGTTGGTTCTATTGGCATGCCTTTGTGCTGGCGACAGCCGTGAACGGAGACATTATGTTTTCAGGTTCTACGTCCGTCTGTCTGTGTGGTCCGTTCTCGTGAATCTTAGAAATGCCTGGAGGGGATTGCAGATTTGTCAGGAACGTTGACTTGGACTAAAGGGTGAACTGGTTAGAATATTGTGGTCAAAGGTCACTGTGACCTCACAAAACACATTTTTGGCCATTTCACAATTTCACAAAATTGCAAATTGAATTGTTGGCGAAGAGGTAAAGGGTTTGCAAGCTGTGTGTCATCTCTTTTCAAGTTTTCAGTTTTCAAATTGTTTTTCCACATGATGTAATGTTGGTGGATCAGGAATGAATCCAGCATACTAGCGATAGCACAAAAGTCAGATCCACAAATATCTATACAATCAAAGACTACAGAACTCAGCAGGGGACTTCACTGAATAACTCTGTCTTTATCTGGTTACACATTGTCCATTCACCCTCACCTGTGCCTGTTCAGTAACTTGCAGTGAAATTGACTGTACTGAATTGAAAGAAAGTTTGTGTGTCAGAGACAATCAAGCTTAAAAAAGAGCAATATTGATGTCAAAGAAGCGAGGATTTGTGGCTGCATCACCTGTCTGCTTATTTGGGAACAATACAAGACAATTAACTTGGGAGTAATACTTGCATGGTGTACGAGAAAAGCCAGCCGCATCTCATTTGTCTAAGGAAACCAAACTAAAAATAGTTCCAGGTTGACAGGACCTCAATAAGGTGGTCAATGTCTGCAGCAGAATAACTGGCACTGCACAGGAAACTCTGCAGGATCCATCCCGTCTGTTTGTTCATTACATCAACAGTTTAAAGTTTCTACAGTCTGGAACCCCTTTCAGACTTCCACCATCTAAAACCAATCAATTCAAACACTTCTCCTGCCATCTGTCTCCTAAACTCAAAAGGAAAGGGTAGCTATTTGCATAATGGTTTAACGTATTGGTTTTTGTAATCTTTTTAACTGACTGAGTTTTTACTGTGTATTTATTGTTAAGATCTCAACGTGAAAGCCTTGGTTAACTCACTACACAGTCGTTTTTTTCTTTTTCCTCTCCTTGCGTGATTTTTTTCCCTCTCAAAAGTAAGCGAGGCCTTGGCAATTGCCACTTAATGACGTGATGCCGGTCTGGTCTATAGAGGACGTGGAAAGCCGTGGGCAGGTTCGTTTAAAATCTTGAATGGAATTGTAAGTGGGAATTTTGTAGGTTTAAAGGAATAATTGCAACATTGCATTACCTTAGCCTAGCTTACCATAAAGACTGGAGGCAGCCGGGTAGGTTAAAACAATATGCTTACTATGGCCCTTTAATAACTAACACAGTGTACCCTGTTTGTTTATTTCATACACAGTTCATGTTACTATTTCTTCGCAAACAAGTGTGGGCGTCACAAGTGTGGTTGCAATCATGGTACCATTGACCTTTCCAGAAATTCATTAGTAAGATTAAGAGGTGTTGGTGCTTCCAATCTTTATGCCAGTCTATCTTAATTGCCTCCCTGCTATATATAAATATACATTTTTTCACTATTCCTTTTAATAAACTGAAGTTAAAAAAAAAAGTCATGTGAAGGATTTATCGACGCATACTTAATATACTATGTGTTGATGTCAACGTTAGCAATGTAATTATTCAGTTTCTTCATTCATTAAAAAAAACTTCACCTGCTTTCTGGTGCTTTCCTATTTTCTATAATTTAGCAAAACAGAACTGCTGTATGTTAAAGCTCAACCAGGGAAAGGTGCTCTGCTGGACCTGCCTCTTGATGCAGTGTGACTCTCCAGTCAGTGCAAGGTTTTAAAACCTCATTCGTCAGAACTAACGGTGGCTCTTCTGCTCTTCTTCCTGTTTACCTCAACCAATGAGATTACTCCCGCCTCCAGAACAGCTCTGCACCTGACGAATGCTACACACAGTGTTCAAGTTCGTTAAACACTTCCAGAAGACAACATTCTTAATCCACATCCCCATTTTTTATTAGAGTTAAGTGTAGCAAAGTTCACATTTTAGGGCAAATGTCCAGTTATTGTGGTCCATCTATGTCCAGCAAGCATAGTGAATATTCATCTATGAAACAATCACATATTCATCAATAAGCCAGATACAAACATTTTCAAGTATCATATATTGTTAACCTTCTCCTCTACACCAACTCCTATTGGGTTTATTCCTGCTGTTACTGTACAGTAATCATACCCATACTGTATATGACTATAATGCAAACAATATTGTAAATATCAAAATGCTGTACAAAAAAACAGGATGTACAGGAAATCAGATGGGAAAGACAGTCCTTACAGCATACAGATCAACATAAAAAATACAAAAAAGGCACTTAAGAATATCAGTTACACACACACACACACACACACACACACACACACACACACTCGTACATCTATATATGTACACACATAGTATACTAAAAATTCAGATACGTGAGCCCATTTTATCACCTGAAAAGTTACAATTGTATCAGATAAACTTGGCTGGGGGAGCGATGTCGAGACGTTGTCAGCTAACGATAAACAGGAAGTCAGGGAGAAGTGTTTGAATCCCCATCACATGCATCACTGCTGTCTTGCACCTCGCATGGCTTTATAATTTCACTGATATCTCATCTATTGCAATGAGGAACTCAAAATGTGTTCGAAATGAGACCTTGAATTAAAGAAAATAGCCTGAACTTGTCTGTGTAGGTTTCTGTCGCTATTGGCTGTCTGGACAGCAAGACACACTTTGATTAGCAAACTAACACACAAGCGAGGTGGCGCTCTCAACCTCTGATACAATGAGGGTGATGATGCGTTTCTGAACAACTTCTCAGAGGTGAGTGTAACATCTGCTTCACTTACTTGAGCAGCTGTTAACCCTAAAAAAAGAATTAGAATCAGCAAAGAGCTATTGTTGCATTCTACTTCTTAATCTAGTGACTCCTGCGCCCTCAGTAGTGTACAGCTCTAGGGGAAATCAGATTTTTTTTGGGAGTTTTTTGTACGGAAGCCCTAAAAGGAAAATGAGAAGAAAACATTTTCGATAATTTTGTAAGTCTGGTGTAATTTGTTTTTTTGTCCTCCTGTGTTCATCATTTCAAAACAGGTGAAAAAAAAGTTTTGCCAACATTTTTGCCAGCATAGTTCCTTGAAAATTTTTTTGGAAACAGGTAGGGAAAAAAGTTGTTGCTTTACTGTTTTCACATGTATCAACTGATTTTTCTTTTTAGAGCTGAACATATTTTTTGTTCAGGATCTTTTTTCTGTGGCCAAAATGAATATTGCAGCAACAAACAAAGATTCTCCTTCCAAAACCTTTTCCCCTGATTAAAAGAAAACACAAAAATATTTTTTACCTGTTTTTAAGTCATAAACACAGGAAAGTAATTTAGATCAGACTGAGAAAATGGCTTGACTGAATGTTTTTTTTCCACCTACCTCTCAGGGCTTCCGTATCTTTGGCATATAAACGAACCAATTTTAAAATGTTAAAAATCAGACAAAAATATCAGCAGCTGCACAAACTTAGAACCTGTACAAGCTTTCAACTGTCATATTCAGTAGGATAAAGTCAACAGTAGGGCTGGGCAATACTAAATATTGATATTATATTAATATTGAGATAAGGGCTGGGTATTACCTTTTTGGATATCATAATATTGCACACGTGTTGTCTTTTCCTGGTTTTACAGGCTGCATTGTAGTAAAGTGATGCTATTTTCTAAAATTACCGGATTGTTCTAGCTGTTCTATTGTTTGCCCTCTACCCACTTAGTCATCCGCATTACTGATGATCACTTATTAAATATCTTTGTGTAAGTATTTTGTAAAAGCAGTGGTCAACTCTACAACATCGATATCGGGGTATTTTGTCAGAAATATTGCAATATATCGCCCAGTCATAGTCAACAGCATCACCACCAAGCTAGCACCATGTGTAGCCTGGTTAAAAACAAGGACAAATGATTACAATCAATCATGTTCATAATGCGGCAAGCTCCCGACGTCAGTACGTTATTAATGTAGATCTGTTTCTAAATCAACGACCTGGAGAAAACTGACGGCGCTTACGTCAGAAAGACACAGATTGTCAAAAAACTGCAACACACCACACATGACCGTTTTTTGATCACATAAACTGCAGTCACAGTCCACATCCAATCACCTTGTTACGTTGAGATAAAGGGCTTTTAGGTGACACTACGCACCCTGTGGTGGCCATATTGGAGGTGTTCTGCTTTTGGAAATAACAGCTGAGTAAAAGATTGGCTCTGTGCTGTTTTTCACAACCAATTCCACTAATGAAATTCAAGCCACCATATTAGAAGGTGGAACAATCTGTAATTATCAGTTGGAATTCAATACTCGAGTTAGCAGCAGACCGTGTCATGTACTCCAGTGCGAGGCGTTTGTAAGGTGAGCTCTGATCGTCCCTGCATGCCTTGTTGGCCTCAGTGAACTACGCTATTGTTGGCCGCTTCGTTAACGCAAAATGGAGTAAACTAGAAAGCCGAACAGATAATAACCCGGACCCGAAACCATCTAAAACTAAATGTGCTAAAGCATTGTCGGATTCAACACCAAAGCTGGAAAAAATGTTGATTTCAGGTAAAAAGAAATAGCTGCCAGCAGTTATATTACAGATCTGAGGTCACTTGTTCTTTTTCTTACTCAAGTGAGGCTACGGAGACGTAGCGAATGCATGGAACTCCAACTCTTCAATATATTTTACCGTTAGGCTTCATAGAATGAGTTTGTATCATTACGTGGTAGTTCTTATTAATACCTCCATTATGACTTGTTTGTTTGTCTGTTCGTCAGCAGAATTGTGTAAATTGGGGGGGGGGGCTAACTTCAACTTGTAGACGGTAAAATTTCAGAGCAGATCAATATTGAGTTGTGCCTGCTATCATCAACAACAAAGTGAGGATTTCAAGTCGATCTAAAAGAAAAAAATATAGTTTCAAAATATTGCTTTGACGATTTAGTCCACTCTGACTTTCTCACTTTTCCTTAAGTCCTTTTCACAGGATTTTGGGGGGGGACAAATTCTCCCTGACCTTCCTCTTCACATTATAATTCTCACTTTACAACACCTGTACAAACTACGAAGTGAGTGTTGTTAGCCAAAAGCTATCGCAATGACCAACACGCCAATCAGCAACATTTGGTTCTAAAATGGTCTTCAGCATCGGGGACCACGTTTCATTTCATCTGAGTCACAGACCAAAACGTCAAATAAGGCAATCTTCTGTCTAAGTTGTTCCGTAACCACAGCCCTTGATGAAGCTTGGCCAAGGATATGACCTCCCACCTCCTGAAACACCTCAACCCCGCCCCGTATTCAGTACAAACTCATTTACCTGCAAAGAAATAACGTCATAGTTGTTAACAATAAGCCTTTAACCTGAATTGATTTCACAAATGCGTTTCACTATTACTGCCTTCTTGACTTCTAAAAACAACTTTCTGGCGTTAACAATGTTTCGTTTTTTTCTCCTTAACATCTCAACCTATTACTTTTAAAAACACCTGTTTTGTTTTCTGCCTTCAACACCAGATAACAATTTGAACCGGACCCCCTACAGAGGAACGACCTCATTGTGCTCGCTCCTCTCTCCTCGAGCTCCCGCCATCATCAACGCTCCCTCCAGTCCGGCCGCGCTAGAACCGAGTCCCGCGCAGCCCTTCGGCCCTTCTCCGTCCAGGTCCGGGCAAGTCACGGCATCATGGGAAGACCCGATAATCCCGCTACTACCGGTGCTCTCCTCACCCCTCCGCTGTTGCTCCGGTGTCGGAGCGGGCGCTCTGATCCCGCTGCTCCCAGCACCCTCGCTGCTACCACCGGCACCAACACCGCCGCCTCGCCTTTTGGGTGGCGGTCCCCAGAGGAAGGCGTGGGCGGGCCTGTAGTGCTGGCGGGCGTAGCGGAGCAGGCGTCGGCGGGTGGCCGGCAGGCGGATGGTGTAGACGAAGTATTCCAGGGCGCTGTGCTGCATGTTGGGAAGTGTGTTGTGGCACAGCGACTCCTCCAGGAACAGACGGACCAGCGGGGCCTTGAAGGCCTCGTAGCCCAGCTCGCCCAGGGACTTCAGGATGCGAGTGATCCGCAGGTAGTTGTGCTGGGACCTTGAGAGAACAAAGCAGGACGTTCTTACTATAACTCATAGAATAAAGAATGTCTACTGTGTAAAATGACAATAACAGTCTTATAAATGCAACCTTGTATTAGATGAGATATGTCATCATATTAAATGTAACTTTATAATGATGTTAACCATGTTTTTCCACTAAATCAAAAGTCATTTTTGAAAATGAAAATGTGAAAGACGGACGAATTAACCAATCAACTACCTGCATTCACACCGTTTTTTGTTTTACTGCTAAAGCGGTGTACTCCACCAGCCGAAGTTGGTTGAACTGAACTGAACGGCACCTGTAACCATGGTAACTGTTCCCATAAAAGAGGCTGACTAGCTTCAGAGTGCTTAAAAGATTAAAATGAAACCCTCTAAGGCCACATGGACAACATACAGAGAGAAAGAAATGCCTGGACATAGTTTTCTATTTTTGCCAATTCTGAGCTTTTTTCTTTCAGTCAGTATCATGACATGTACGTGACATGATTCAGGGGAACCTGCCCTTTCTTTCTGGTGCAGTGTAAAGTCACAATCATGCATCACTGAGTGAGCATACCATATTTGAAAAAAAAAAAAAGTAACATTTTTTTTCATTGTGAAAAGTTCATATCTGTCCCCAGACATCTCCGCCTCTCGCCTCTGCGGTAGTTGCTGCTACAGGAAGACATTTTACCATCACGGCACTTACACAGAGACTCGTGAGCTGATCATCTCAAGGTTCAGACACAATTTAAAGCGTGTCTCTATCATGAACGGTTCCAAAGTTATTTGATGTTTTGTAGAAACATGTCAAGGCTTTATGCGCAAAGGAAATTACACTAATATTTCCCCGAGGAACACGAGACTGAATCATCTTCAGTATTTGTACAATTCAAAAGACTTAAATGTCAACATGCAAATACAGAATTTCAGCAACAGATTGAAATGAAAACAAAAATGAACACTGTATGAGTCACGGTGTTGCATTCAACTTGAGTTCTGAAATCTTTGCCGATTCAGCACCCTCATTAATAAGAAGTTTGTTTCTAATGGTTGTCTTGCCTGAGAGCAGAGGCTGAATATTCAATGTGGTATTAAAAGCAAGAGAAGGGAATACAATCATACCGAGCAGCTGCTTTATGGGGGAGAATTTGTTGTTTTTCACATGGTTTGCATAATGGCAACAATTAGCTTTGGATGCTAATGTTTAGAGGTGGTTAAAGCAGCAGCACTGAGGAGAAAAACCCCAAAGTGTGACATTCGGTTGGTTATTTGGCAAGAAAAGTCAATGCCTGTGAAGCTGTCGAAATGGGATGTGAAAGAAACCCTTTAACCATCTGTTTGTTGACTGAAAAGATGTTGTTCACATATGGGCTGCTGACAGAACAACAATTAATTAGAATAAGTGCCTTTACAGAGGGCACAAAAGCAGCAGAGACAGAAGTTTGCACAAATTCTCTTTTATACCCTTAACCTTCTGCAGTGTGTGTGTGTGTGTGTGTGTGTGTGTGTGTGTGTGTGTTTTTACTCATTAAGGTGCTGGAAGCGCTCCTGCCAGTTGGGAGCCCGGGCAACATTGCCACTCTTATCCAGCAGTTTGACGCCGTAGAAGTCCAACATGAGGGAGTAAGCTGCCAGGAATCTCCGCTTGGCTTCCCGAGTGCTTTGGAATTCCTGACGGGGTCAAACACGGCAGATCAGAGACCAGCAGACAGGTACGACAATGCCTTCCTGTTTGGCGTTAAACATGCATTTTGCAACCGAGTGCAACACGCAGATGGACCCAGAATTTGTTCAGAGACACATTTGCACTCATTAACAATATGGTTTCAATTAATTTCAGTGGAAGAAACACACTTGGGATACAAACATTCATGTGGTTTACATTAATAATGCTCAAGCCAATGTGAAATATATTCAGTCAAAACACACTGAATATTTCTTTTTACTTTTGAACCTGGTTGTTCCATTTGAGTGACTTTTGTAAGTAACTATTATACAGGGAATGCACCAACCTTCTTAAGTGCATCAACTTAAAGTGCACTGTCATTTCAAAAGGAAAAAATATCATGTAACATCATGTTAAAAGGAATGTTTTTAATTCATTGGTTGAATGCTCAGTCGCTCAGCCATGGCAAACACTCAAGTCTCTATACAATGTGTACTTGTGCATCTTACTTTGATCTCCTCCTGAGTCAGTTCATGTGCGTAGAAGTTGAGCCCTTGTTCTCTTAATGGGAACAGCCTGCGACAAGGAAAAGGAATAAAGAGAAACCCAACATCAAATGAAAAGATTTGCTCATTTGCTAATGCAGTTGCCGTAAACCCTCGACCCAAAATCCCTTATTCAGGTTTTGGTTGTACTTATTTCACTCCTCAAATAAAAACTAATAAAAGTTGGCGACAGACAAAAGCTAAGATGGCAACGAGCAAAAAATAAAGATGATGACGGGCAAAAACCAAGCTGGTGATGGCCAAAAGCCAAGATGGTGACAGCTAAAAAAAAACAAAAAAAAAAAACAGATGGCGTTGAACTGACCAAGATAGCAACATCTTCAAAACCATATGCCACACACCAATGGGACACGTCAAGGTGAATATGTCCACTTCTTATATACGGTCTACGGTTAGTCCTTCTGTTATGGTTACAGCGCATGCCATATAACCGCATCATCACAGGTTTGATTCCCGCTTTGGGACCTTTGTTGCATTTCATAGCCTACCACTGTCTCTCTCCATACTGTCCTAAATAAATCTGAAAATCTGAAAATGTCCCAAAAATATTGTTAAAAAATGAAACTATAAAAGCTAAACAAACTAAAAATCGGCTAATTCCAATATGCAATTTCAATTCTAAAACATGTCTCATAATACCATGCCATTAACAATCCAGTTACTTCCGAGGAGTTTGTGCCATCACATGTAAGGTAAAAGAAAATGAAAATACACAGATGAAATGTCTCACCACTGAATGTAGGTGTGATTGTGCTCCAGTTTGTCATAGTCGCCTCTCCACTTAGTCAGAATCTCCTCTACGTAGATGCCTGAGAAGAGACAGGAGCTGATTAGCTGCCACACACATTACTAGTGTGTGCGTGTGTATATGTGTGTGTGTCAGCGTGTTTAAATATTGGATCAGTCCACTAATCTGGTGGTCTTTCCCAGTCAAACATGACCTTTAGCCAAACAAAACTCACTGAGCCCAAAGTCAACATTTCCTCTCTCCACAATGGCAGGAGGTCTGCATGCAAGTGTGTATGTGTGTGTGTGTTTGTGTGTGTGATCTCACCATCAGGTACTAGAGGGATCTTGTTCAGGTAGAAGCGCAGGTTACGGTATTCGTTGGGTAGGCGGGTCTTTCTGTAGTTCTACAAACACACATAGAGCCAAGAAATCACAGTGGGTGTCAGCAATATATAGACAACATCCGTGCATTGCATATCTACATTTGTGGGCATGGATTTTGTTTGTGTGTGTGTGTGTGTGTGTGTGTGTGTGTGCGTGTGTGTGTGTGCGGGTACCGGGTAGCTATGACGGTATTTGTAAAGGTCCCTGGCAGCGTAGAAACTCCTCTTCATCTTTGGACCGGACTCTGGAGATTCTGTCAGCTGGGAAACAAAAGCAAGAAAGAAGGAAATAAAATCAGTTGAAAGGCAGATCTGAAACAAGACTCCGTCCAGCACTCATCTCACCATTCAGCTGAAGCAAAAGCACCGCCTTTGCTTTTTAGAGGTCGAGGGGCTGTCATCATCCATTTCTTTCTAGCAAAGGAGGACAATTCACATCGCCACAGACGGACGCTCGAATCTCGATCTGATTCTCAAATAAAATCTGGGTCATGCTAACTTCCACTGGACAGAAAGGCTCGCAGTGTTCCACTTGGCCCCATCCTGTTATTCATTTTGTTTTGTGTTTTACTTTAGAAAGGCTTGGTACATGGCATACATATATGTTAGTATCCAGGATGCCGGATCACATTTTATTTATCTTTACATTATGGAGCTGGACTCCAGTACATAAATCCAGCAAAGATAAACATATGATGACTAAATCCAGAAGAAAAAAACAAAACAAAGCAAAAACAAATGGAAATCGTGTCATACATACGTCATACCACGTAAATGTCTAATAGCTTGGTCTAAAGTGGTCTAACCAAACTAAATTCCCATATGCAGTGTGGGAAAGTTCCTATTTGAGTTTTACATATCCAACACAAATTGTTATTCTTCATTCCGTGGAGTCTCCATGGTGCGTCACTGTATCTATCATATGCATGTAAGAGGTGGACGTAGTCGTCGTAACGTCACCCATTGGTTCGTGGACTGCCGTTTTGAGTTTGAGTTTTCGCCATCTTGGTTATTTGCAGCCAGTGAGCAGAAGTGACCATATTTGGACTGAGGAGAAGTGACCGAGAGACGCCGTATGCGGCTCTGGTAGCGGCAGCGACCTGTCAATCACAAGGTAGCCCCAACCTAAAACATACTCTGCTTTATGGTCTATGTGACTCTAAATGGACCATAATCTACTAAATGAACATCATGCTGTATTGAAGAAGACAAAACTAGAGATTGAGACCATAGACTCATGTTTACAATGTTTACTGTGGTAATAAATCAAGAGAGAAGTAGAGTCATTTTCTCATAGACTTCTATACAATCGGACTTCTTTTTGCAACCAGAGGAGTCGCCCCCTGCTGGCCATCAGAGAGAAGGCAAATTTAAGACACTTCCACATTTCTTCACTTATCAGAACCGGGGGTAGCCGTCTGGTATCTACGCAGTGTCTTACAGTATATTGTGTGAGGCTTTGCCGTTGCTTCTTCCACATATTTGCCACATCTAGCCACAATGTTAGACCACCGATGGGTTCAGTTCCTTCTCCCATGGCGCTCCCTGATATATCTGACTATATCTATGAACCATATACAGGACAGGTATATTAACTACACCAGAACTCAGGTCTCGTATTGTTTAACAGCTTCACCCAGTAATTCAATTCTGTGTTACGTATCCTAATTTGTACAGCCATGTTTGTGGCTTTTGTGATTTTTATTTTTACCTGATCCTGATATTCACATTACAAACTGCATGCTAACTTTTGAGGCAGGGGCGTTTCTAGGATTCAAAGAAAGGGGGGGCTTAGCCCCAAGGAGAGGGGCATGTTTGCGCGCCATGCGCACATCAATTTTTTTTGGGGCCCATTTGGGGCCGCGGATATCCATTGTTTCAGACAGTTCATAGATTGGTTCAATCAGAAAGAGTGATTCTGCCCTGTAGTTTTGCTTGCATTCAGTGTATGATAACACAAGAGACAGAATTGCAGGGGCATCGTGAAATTTGACAACAGAAATATGAACTTTTCTCAAATAAAGAGAGAGAAATAATTTTCCTGCTTGTTAAGGGAAGACGGATAAACTGGCTTTCATATCCGCGTCACTCCCAAATCCTAATTCTTAAAGGGACCGCACACAATGGATGGAGAATGGACCTGACAGTGTCAACTTTTGAGTTGTTTACTTGTTTTATTATGAGCAGGATTGTAATTTGAAGGGGGAGAAAACATACAAACCAGAACGCACGCACATATGTAGCATGTTAGAGTTATAAATAACTTGTCCATGTGAGAAACAATAGTTTAATTTAATGACATCACCAAAATAAAAATGAAAAAAAAGTTTTATTTTTATTTTTAAATGCCAAATTAGTCTGACAACAACCACCCAGCGAACTATTCTGAAAATTCAGGGCACAGCTAGGGACCAATACCCATGAGGCCCTAATAAAGTATTTTATTTCCTTCATAAACCAGCTGGCAGACTGGGACTATATTTGATAAATAACTAACACAATCGTGTAGCATGCAGTATGTAGTCTATACTGCCATGTATGCAGGCGTATCATCACATATAGTGGTGTTGTCATACATCAAATATGTCTTAATGAACGTGGCAGTAACAGTGAAGCGCTGCTGACCGGATTAAATGCCACAGCGAGGTGTAGTAAGTGAGTAAAGTTCACACAGCGTTAGCCGCCTAAAATTGACGTTATTTTGAATGACGTTTGGCGCTAGCTGGATGCTCGCCTCAGCGGGACACAGCAGCACGAGTCGGAGCTGCTCGATTGCCCTTTCTGTGTCCCGGCCTCGTTAATAATATCCGCCGCCGGTGGCACATGTTACCGCACTGTGTCTCCGGTTCTGCCCCCACCCCCCGATAGTGTCATCACATGCTACATACAAAACCCCTCACTGTACCTGCGGGGACGCGTCCTCGGGGTCTCCGGCGGCCCGGTCACTCTCCGCCGGGCTGACGGAGTCGGAGATGCCGCTGTCATCTTCAGCCGCCGGCTCGTCGCTCTCGGAGTCCGACCCCCACGTCGAGTCGCATTCCTCAACGGTGCTCGGCTCCTTGAAACGCCAGCTGCCCAACAGATTTCCCATTTAAAAAAACATGCAAAGACCCTCCGCTCTCTTCTATTGTTCTCGTATTTGCACTTTAAAAATAAACACTACATCATTTTGTCCACAAACTCGTATTTGTTTGGTTGGCAGTGCCGCTGGGCTCACGTTGCCCTCAGAGCGCAGCTTTTTAAATGGCAGAGAGAAGGGAATTTCCAGATCAGCAATGATGTGCGTGAAGTATGAGGGGTCATTAGTGCCACAAAGCAGCAGGATGAGTTCTTAAAGCTACAAACCCTGAATTCTGAACTGAATAGGTAATAATTGTCTTGATGGTTGCCAGAAATATCATCAAATGATAGTATAGGCCTAGGTCAACTAATTAAATCACAAAAAATGTTTTATTGTTTCCACCATAGTGTGATTACAGACCAGATATGAAAAATATTTAGCTTATCATTAAGCTTGCTGTCATCACTAAATGCAGCCATGTACACATTATAGTGGCTATTTTTATTCAAAGTAGATGAAATTCAGCACTACTCCACAATTGTATTACTTGTAGGGTTGAATGAGGCTGCTCTGTTGTATTTTTGGTCTAGCTTGTTAAAGCACATCAGTCATACATTATCAATGTGGGATTTTGCTATTACCGTGCAGAGTGAAGCCAATGACTTACATTCTCTCTACTGACCAGCAGGGGTCGACCCCTCTGGTTACGTAAAGAAGTCTACAGAAGTCTACGAGAAAATGACGATGACATTGCCGAACTCAAGGCTTCAAAAGAGCAGTCCACAAACCAATGGGTGATGTCACGATGACTAAATGAACTTCTTATATACAGTATGATTCCAACGTTAATTGTTAATGTGTCCTTGGATTTCAACTTATGTTTTGCACATGTTAAATATATGCATGTAAATATAAAGGTTATGTTCTTAGTGCCTCTGCTGCATTTCATGGCAATATTTTAGATTTTTTTTAAACATGTAAAAACACAACAGCGTGTCTACATTTTGAGATAATAATAATTTAGTTTTTCATATGTAGAATGCATATTGTATATTGCTTTGTTCCTCTAAAGTCGCTGGCACCATTTTGCAACCCATTATTTTATAGTTCACAAGGTCACTGACAAATCCCTCCCTCCTCATCCAGTCGCTTTGTGGCATTAATCGCTCCCCATACTGAGTCCCGTAACAGCAGCATCAGGACCAGAACTGTATCACGTGACACCGGGACAGGAGGAGGTTACTATATCCTCCTCCCTGATATTATCAATGTCACTCCGGAACAAAGGGAAACTGTGAAGGTTCTCCTTTTGGACAATCCAACCTATGTTTTGAATTTATGATATCATGGTTTTAACTAAATGGAAGAAATATGTTAATTGTCGTCTTATTGCTCATTTCACTTTACTTACAATATTTTATTTATTGAGGCCATGTGTAAGCATATTCCAAGCATTCCATTGGGTGATTTAAGGAAATCGTTCTTATAAAGAAATGGGGATTACATTATTACATTAAATCAAAATGACACATCTCCACAAGGTCATTCTGAAACACAAGACAAAGTAAACCAGTATAACAGTAATGAAAATTAGTGTGGAGATTATATGTATTACAAGTGTGATCTTGTCAATATGATCACATATTTATGTAACAATTAAAAGACTCTATTTGTTGTTTGAAACCTGATTTTATGATAAATGTAAAGTCTTCAATTCAAATAGTACTGAACTTAGATAGTAATGTATACATAATTTGACTGCCTCATTAAATCTGTCTTAATTTTAAAGGGACAGTTCACCTCTGGATTTAAAACGACATAATTGTCCTCTTACCTACAGTGCTATGTCTATCGATCTGGATTGTTTTGGTATGAGTTGCATAGTTTTGGAGATATTGGACGTAGAGATGTTTACCTTCCCTCCAATATAATGTCTATGTTATCTCCAAAACAAGGCAACTCACACCAAAAACAATCTAGATCGATAGATAGCACTACGGGTAAGTGTTCTGTTACTTTTGATATTTCTGTACTTTTAGTTAAGTAGGGTATTAAATGAGGACTTTTACTTCTAACTGAGTACTACCTCCACTTGTGTTTGCCTCAGTATCATCATAGCTTTATAGTCTACACTAAAGGTGTGGGTATGTGTGTGTGTGTGCGGGGGGGGTCCTTTTCCGATGTGATGACCCAAGGACTAAGGATGCGTATGCTGTATGGATTGTAAAGCCCTCTGAGGAACATGTTTTGATTTGGGTTCATAGAAATAAATTGAATTGAATTGAAAGTAAAATTCTGCTGGAATATCAGCACAAATTCAAAGCAACTACACTTTAAAATGAAAGTTAGTGTCGACCTTCAAAATCACACACAAATCCGACCCTCTGTAAGCATTTTTGGTTCGGTCGAGCCTGCAGGTCGACCAGCCTCACACCGGCAAGAGGGCTCACCTCGGAGCGGGAAACTTTAGGGCTCTTGGCAGCCTGAGCGAGACCTGTGACATTAACGTTACTCTGATGTGTCCGGTTCCTCCTGCTTGGGGCTGTCGCTTGCTGCTGCAGCCGGTGAGACTGAGTCACAGAGGTCGGGGCACAGTCATCTCTCTAGTCGGCCAAATGTCCAAATCGAGTGAAACCAAAACATGAGCTAATCGAGACTGTGTGCCACAGTACGGGCGGCTTAGTTTCTGTCTTGTCCGCAAAGTATGGGAAGTGTAAGTACATCTGAGTGAACCCTGAGTCATTCGATGTGAAATAATGTCTATACCAGAAGCAGCTTAATAAAGTGAACCCCTTACAACAAAGCTGCAGCTTCTATGATGCTTCATATTTGTTGGTTGCTTTCATGCAGGCTTTCATTATTCTATAAAAACAATGGGAGTGAATGGCGTGTTTAAGGCCAGATTGGAGGCCGTATTTATCGGACTTCCCAACCACCATATGACGACTCCAGCGGAATTCTTCCAACCATTAATCAGTTATTGTTAAAGGTGGACATCAAAGTATCAGATGACTGGAAATCCTCTTTGAAATGTTTCGAGAAAAGCCGTTTAGTACATAACAGTAAAAGACTAAATTAGAGGTGAACACCGCCATCTTTTAAAAATTGTATTTCCTAATCTGAGGGATTGATGAACAGCCGGTGACGGTATCAGCGTTTCATCTAAATCTGAGCCAGGCGGCACAGCGCATTTTCTTTCCCGTTGACTTTACCTTACTTTAGCTCCAAGATTGTGTCGGCGACAAAGGAGCTTTCCACCAGTAAGCTTTTTTATTGCTTTCAGTCCGACCTGCTTCCCTCTGATGGGTTCTAGAAACACCACCACAGACCGTTTATTGACAAATAATGACTCATACTGTACACTGCTAGTGTGCACTTCCACTGCTTACACACACACACACACACACACACACACACACACACACACACACACA